GATCAATGCCACTAAATTTAAATTTTTTTGCTGCCGACACTGCTTAAAATATAATTCAAACTTCATTAGTAAAATAATTTCAATGTGAAAATTGATGCAAGAAAAAAGTAATTTTATATATGTATTTACCTCTAACTTCTGAGCTCACCAATCATTCGGTGCATCAATTGTCCGCTTCAGTAGATTCCAACCCAATCTTGTTAAACCTTTTGACTTCTTTCCAAAATTTCGAATTCTTTTTTAATTGATCTTACTTGTTTTTGAGTTTTATCCGATCGTAATCTCTTCTAGTCAGTTCCTTGAATTTATTCATAAGATTCTGTCAGCCTTCTTTATTAAATAAGTGATACGCCTATTACCCAACTCGACCTCCCTCAGACAGAGATCACAAAATATAATAGTCACCTCTCTATCTCACATAGCCGATGATCTGACCTTTTTAGCTTTACTCATTGTGTAATGTCAGATAAACGGGCTAGAATGAAATTACTATTATTCAAGAGAGAGCACGTCAGCCCAAAATTTAGATGAAATAAAAAAAAAATATCGCGAAAATTGAAAATAAGAACCAATATTGTATAAAGAATGTAGAAGGGTTGCTAGAAGACATGCATACACAAAAGAAGAATAAATGATAGGACAAATCAAAAGAAGAATGATTTTTTTTGTGGAATACATCATTACACTTCAAAAATACTAATCCTTGTCCTATTGAAAAAAAGAATTACATAACAAGTGTCAAATATGATATGATATTTCATTTGCCCCAAAATCAAGAGAAGAACTTCATGGGGCCGTTTCGTTCACTCAAAATAAAATGATGTTCAAGTAAAATATAATATATTGCGAATGCTTTACCGTTATTTGTTTCAATGCAATATAAATACACTAATTCATATTGTATCTATTTGGAAAAAAGTAAATAAATCATTTTAAAGCACAACTATTTATCAACCGAAGATGATAGGAGGCCAACAACTTACAGTCATTTGAGACCTGACAACATTGAGGTTAACAAAACTCATTTTAACTCAACCCCACATCATCCTATTAAACTATGTATTTACTTTCGAAGGAAGAATCTACAAAGAATTGAAACTATTCTACGTCTTGAAGCTTATCACGAATCCTACATGGACTCACCAAATTCACAAACTCCTCTTTCTTGTGATAGTACTCGTATCCTTTTGCAAATGTGGTGAGATATAATCAATTAATCATCTATCCTCCTTGGAAAAACACTTGCTAAGCTTATGGAAATTGAAATTTAAAGATGGTAGAAGAGACCTTTAATAATTCAATATAGAGAGAAGCAATTGAAGATGAGGTGAAGAAACCAAGGACTCCATCCCTTATTAGATACAAATGATTCTTCACTAATGAAATACTGATTTGCTAGATCCATCAAGAGACATAAAGCAAGGCTAGCTTACCAAAGCTTACAAAATCAACTATTATGAAATCTTTGCTTTTGTGTAATTCTTAAAACCATTTGGATACTTTTCACAATGGCGGCCAACCTTGATTGACTGATTCACAAACTGGATTATAAAAATGCATTTTTGAGTGCTTACTTAAATAAGGAAGATTATATGCACCCTCCTCTAAGGATTACCGACTCCAAAAAGACAATTCTAGAAATTGTAGTAAACCTATTAATGATCTCATATAAACACCTCAAGCCTGATTTAACAGTTTGACAAAAGCTACAAGTCAATAGAGATTCATATAGGCTCACTCTAATCACTTTTTCATACAAGTTCAATGATTGTAAGTCTATCATATTAATAGTATATGTTGATACAATCATTGTTATAGTATATCATGATTTGGAGAAAAATACCTTGAAAAAAAAATGACATGAGTTAAACATAGCAAATCTTAAGCATCAAGTTTTTCCTGAAAGAAAATCTCTAGTTAGAAAAAATAGCCATAAAATCTATCGAAGAAAATATCTTACAGATATCTTAAAATAAATCATCTTAACTAGAAGCAAACAATTAATACTTGTCTCCAGGAAAATAAGCTTTTGTAAGTGATGCATTATGCTCGAGTTGCACACCCCACCACAGAAAATAGAAAGATCAAATCAAATCCTACATGTTATCCTACATGTTCATAAACTAGGGCCTTTCTTCACCGCGATATTAGAGTTAGTTTTCGGCCAAATGAGGTAGAGGAGGGAGGAGAGGAGGGTGGAGAGGAATTTTTTACCAGGGGAGAGCAGCTTCTCGGCCGGGGAGCGACGGAGGAGGCGCACTCGACATAGGATCCTCTAGGTTATCGTTGTCTTGATCCTGCCACAAATAAACTCTATGTAAGTGTTGATGTCTCATTCTTTGAAAGTGTTTCCTGCTTCCCTGTCACAGCCTTTAAGTGAGGGGAAGTTTGATTTCCTGGACTCTATTCCTTATCCAGCCCCTATGGATAATTCTCTAACCACTATATTTGAGGAGCCCTCTTTCTCTCTAGATTCACCACCTACCATAAAATCAAATCCTCCCATTCTCCGTGTCTATGCTCGATGCACTCATGTCTTTACAGGATCAGGAATCCACTTCGAGTGACATCCCCAAAATTGACACCACTCCAAATGAGGAGGTGAGTTTTCCTGTTGAGGTATGTAATCAAGCATGCTCTCTTTATTCCATGGAAAAATATATCTCTTTCCGCAGTTTATCGCCGATTTATAAAGCGTTTGTTGCTGCTCTGACGGATCATCACCTTCCATCTACTATTGAAGTAGCATTAGCTGACCCTTCCTGGAAAGCTGCAGTTATGGATGAAATGAATGTCCTTCGACGGAATCGCACATGGGATGTTGTGGACCTTCCTCCAGGTAAGAATGCAGTAGGGTCCCGCTAGATCATTAGCTCTAAGTTTAACTCCGATGGATCTTTTGAATGCAACAAGGCGCAGTAGTCGCCAAAGGATTACTCACAAACATATGAAGTTGATTATGAGGAGACATTTGCTGCAGTTGCTAAATAAAATACCATTCAGGATTGACCCTTGCTACAACTAGATGTCAAAATTGCTTTCTTAAATGAAGATCTCACAGAGGAGGTGTATATGTGCGCCCCTTCAGGTTTTGATTCTACTGTTCCCCTGGGACAAGCATGCTGATTGTGGAAGCCTCTCTACGGACTGAAGCAATCCCCAAGGGTTTGGTTCGACAAGTTCACAAACGTTGTAATGGGTCATAGTTATTTTCAAGTTGAATTAGATTATACTCTCTTCTTTCGGCATTCGTCTAGTGGCAAAATTGCTATTCTTATCGTCTATGTCGACAATATTGTACTCACAGGTGATGATCTACTAGCATTGGAGTCTCTGAAAGGTATTCTAGCTACGTCATTTGAAATGAAGAACTTGAGATCACTTCAGTACTTCTTAAGCATGGAGGTTGCTCGGTTTTCTTGGGGCATTTGCCTATCTCAACGCAAATGTCTTGATCAATTGGCAAAAAATAATCTTTTCCATTGCAAGATAGTGGCGATCCCTATGGATCTCAATGAGAAATTAGCTGACGTTCCCAATGCAATTTCGGTGAACACGAGACACTACCAATGGCTTATGGGGAAACTCATTTACCTTCTCCATTCTCGTTCTGACATTTGTCATGCTGTAGGTATTGTGAGTCAATTCATGCATGATCTCTATGAGCATCATCTCCAAATTGTCCACAAGATCTTTCATTACTTGAAAGGCACACCGGGCTGAGGTTTGTTTTTCTGGAGTCATATCTCGTTCTACTTATGTTTATACAGATGCGGATTGGGTCGGGTCTGTCCATGATAGGCGATCCACCTCAGGATGTTGCTCATTTTTGTAGGGGAAACTTAGGGAAATCTTTTCACTTGGAAAAGCAAAAAATAGTCGGTTGTGACCCATAGTAGTGCTAAAGCTGAGTTTCGCTTCATGTCCTTGGATAACTGTGCATCTCTTTGGTTACGCATCATGCTCCGTGAATTGCGTATGCCAGTCTCTGCTCCTCTTCAATTATTCTGTGATAATAAAGTTGTCATTATTATTGCCCATAGTCTGGTTCAGAATGATCGGACCAAGCACGTGGAGATTGACAGACACTACATTAAGGAGAAGTTCGATTTAAAGGAGATTTGTATTCCATTTGTTTCATCCAATGGTCAATTAGCAGATATCCTTACCAAGAATCATCCTCGGTCATTGTTTGACGACTACAAATCCAATTTGAACATAATGGACATCTATGCTTTAACTTGAGATGGAGTATTAGATTTGTTAGCCTAATTATTAGGCTAATTTCTTCTGTAGCTGCTATTATTAACCTTTATTTGCTTCCTTTTTTTCTCATTTCTTTATTCATGTATTTTCTTGTTAGTCTAATTCTGAATTTATACCTTTCCTTTTATTTGGGACTTGTAATATGTATTTATAACATCTTTTCTATCAATAAAATTATCTTGCTCTATTCTCAAACCTAACAAAAAGCTTAGGTGTTAAATATGTAAATACATGAGAATTATGTGGTATGTATGTATATGCCCCTTTTTGGTTGGTTTAATTTGACGTTGTCTTGTTACACATCCTCCCACCTTTCTGAAAGACAAACATATGATCCATGAAGCGAAAGAAATGATTTCTCAATTTCGAAATGCTTCATCTTGTTTGAATTCCAGGATAATTAGCTTTGATAGACTTCTCTGGATTTGGTTTAATACATGGAATTTGGATGACTAGTTTTTGAATCCATGGTATAAAAATAAACTTATCCATCGCTTTTATCCCATAAGTGCTGATGCATGAGATTATGAGATGATAGTTGCATTTTTAATTTTAATTAACTGAAGTTTACTTCCTGTAGAACTAACTGAATTTGCTTTGAGATTCTTTTATTTGATGGAGCATCGTCATTTTGATCCTAGAATCATATTTCATTATTCAGTTATTGGTCCTTAGAAACTTTACAGGCTGTATTATACACTCAAAATTCTTGTGTTTCTGTGTGTGTCGTGCAGTATACTCCAGCAATTGATACTTGGAGTATAGGGTGCATATTTGCTGAAATGCTGACAGGAAAACCGCTATTTCCTGGCAAAAATGTTGTCCATCAATTGGACCTGATGACTGATCTGCTTGGCACTCCCTCTGCCGAAACCATTGCTAGGGTACTCTCAATATTTTATTTCATTTTTTGCCTTATATGCTTTAGGCTTTTCAGCAACAACTAGTAGTGATTGTTTTCCACTTTAGAACATAGAGTGGCTTCTCAAATGCTTAGAATTAATGATCTTAAATATGTTACGTAGAAGCTAATTAATTTAATCCATTTTGTGCTTCAATTTTTTATGTTTGTTCATTATCTTATATCATATTATTAGAGCTTTTATTTTAGAAAGAATTTCATCTTACGGTTCTCCCAGAGAAGCGCCCTTCTATTGCCTGTAAATGTAATATTATTTTATATTGCAATTGGCATTGCTTTGCTAATGTTCGTGCATTGTTGAGACACCTCTACCGGGAAGATTGCTGGAAATAATCTAATAATTATTTAGTAAGTAATATTTTGGAAGTTCAAAATACCTACTGTTGAAATAATGGGGGATTTACATACATACCGCATTATTCTTATGTATTTATATATCGAAAACCTAAATTTTCATAGTACTTATATAATACCTAAATCCTTAATGTTGCATGAAAAATTCCAGTAATACTAACGTTTTTAAATTGAAAGTCATATTTTCATTCATATGTTGATTGTGACTCTAAAGTGTTATGTAAGTAAATATGAAAGTTTAGGAGTTGGATAAGTAAATACTTAAAAATTGTGGTTTACATGTGAGTCGCCCTAAAATAAATATTTTTAGTTTGAACCAACAAGTGTGCTATGTTTTCCTGCGATAGTTGCTTTTGGCTATGCTAATTGCTGATTATAACTATGATTTAGTAGTAAGTAGTGAATGCTTGTGAATCCATTAGTGGAAATTGCTTTTCTTCCTTTTAGGTCCTCTCTATTCCTTCTATATAAGGATGAAATATAATTTCAGAAGATACGTGCTATGTAGGAACACATCCATATACTTCATTATGTAACATGAATCTGCGTATGAAAAAAGTATAGTTTTAATAAACAATATCTCTTCAATGGTTTATTGCTTCACTACGAGACAAGCTTAAATTAATTGTCTGAACTTGTATGTAGTTCTTGGAGTTAAAGTGCGGCATGAAACTTCTTGAAAATTTGAAGAAGAAGAAAGTAAATATGAGAGATTTTATTAGTGATTTTTATTTCTTTTTCAATGTAAAAAAGATGATAAGAAACTAGGCATAAATAGATGAAGAAATACTCATCTAGAAAATACATAAATGTTGAAACCAGGCTCTTGGGAACAGAGAACTAACTATACAGCATGAGTAGAAAGCTTTTGTCCACGAATTGTTGAATTTTCATAAATAGAAAACTATTATATATGAATTATTGAATTGCTATAAATGAAAATGTGTTCACCATTAATTCAAGTTCATTTCAACACACCCTCAAACTGAGTTTTATGTATTAATCATGTTGGCTAGAGCCCGATTTCGCTCCCACCTCCCGATCCCTCTCCTGTCCGCCTGCTCCCGCGAAGCGATGCTTCGCTTCGCCTCTTCGCTTCCGATCGCGAGAGGTCGCGTCCCAACTCCCGCGAACAGTTCCGCTGTTTTGCGAAGAGTCGCACCCCCGCCTCCTTTTTATCGCGAAACCGAGAGGTTTCATTGGGTCTTCGACATTTCTTCTTTCTTTTGCTTGAGCAGCAGGATTAAAGGGGAAGAAGAAGAAATTAATGTTCTCTCCTTCAGTTTTAAGCACGGTCTTTTTGTGTTCTTCTTCAGGCTTCCTCGGGATAGAGGAAGAGAAGTAGAGGAAGAGAAGTGCAAACAGTGCAAACAGTAGTTCCTTGTGGCAGAAGGAAGAAGAAGAATAAGAAGTAAGAAGATTGTTCTCCCTTGGCTTTTCTTGGTGACTTGTGGCAAAAGAGAAATTGAGTTTATTTCTCTTGTAAATTTATCTTCTTCCGTGTATCTCGGTGTAGAGAGAGAAGAAGAGAGCAAGTGAGAGATCCCTCTTGTAAGTCGATACGATCGACTGGTGTAAATTCCTCAAGTAGTAAAATCATCTGCAATTCTGTGGACGTAGACAATTTGTCAAACCACGTAAATCTGTGTGTTCCACTGTGTGTTCTTTTCTGGTGTGAATTTTATCGTTCTATTTTTTCGCTTCGTCAAAGATCGTTCTTCTATTTTATATATATACCACAACAACTGGTATCAGAGCTTTGTTCGGATCTGAGAAAAAATGATGGCTGCAGATGAAGTGAAGGTTTCAGGGATTGAGAAATTTGATGACACAAATTTTAGTTATTGGAGGAGCAGATAGAAGACTACTTCTATGGGAAGAAACTTCATCTTCCGTTATTGGGAAATGACCTAAAAGGATGAATAAGGATGAATAGAGTTTATTGGATTGACAAGTTCTGGGGGTTATTCGATTGACCCTATTGAGGTCTATTGCATACAACGTCGTCAAAGAAAAGACTACTGCAGATCTCATGACAGCCCTATCAGGTATGCATGAAAAACCATCGATGAATAACAAAGTGTACTTGATGAAAAAATTATTCAATGTAAAGATGACAGAAGATGTTTTTGTTGCTCAACACTTGAATGATTTCAAAACTATCACAAAATAATTGTCGTCTAATTGTCGTCTGTTGAAATTGATCGTCTGTTGAAATTGATTTTGATTATGAGATACGTGCGCTGATATTGTTGGCATCATTGCCAAACAGTTGGGAAGCCATGAGGATGTCAGTTAACAGTTTTGTAGATAAATCTAAGCTGAAATATGATGATATTCGTGATTTGGTTTTGGCTGAGAAGGTGCGCAGGAAAAATTCTGGCAAGATCTCAGGTACGAGTTCAACACTGAATGTTGATTTCAAAAGGAGATCACAAGAGAGGAACCCAAATAAAAGGAGATCAAATCAAAGTCTGGTCAGCAGACAACCTGTTGGAATTGTGACAATACTGACCATATAAAGAGAAACTGTAGGAAACCCAAGATTATGAAGAATGATAGCGCAGATGTGGTATCTGAAGAAGTACATGATGTGTTATTGTTGGCAGTTCATAGTTCTGTTGATTATGGAAGTGAAGAGGAGAGTGTGTCCGGAATACTCATTCCTATTGTTCCATAGACAGATGGTAGAAAACCACAAAGCTATGAATAAATCTTGCAAGATGAAAGTTCGAGCAAGTGAGAGCTGACAGAACTTCTACTAGGGAAGAAGACATTATACAACAAGTGGGTGTATGGGGTGAAGACTGAGCTTGATGACAGTAAGAGGTACAATGCCAAACTTGTTGAAAAAGACTTTCAGCAGAGACAGGATATTGTCTATGCAGTGGGAGTTGTAAGCAAAGACATGAGTAACCTAGGAAATAGCTTGGAGGTGCAAAACTATGTGGACCCTGCTGATATGCTAACGAAGAGTGTTACTCTTGAGAAACTGAAGTTGTTCACAGCTTTAGTTGAACTTCTGGTATGAAAACAGAATTTTTAAGTTGCAGATGTGGAGGATTCACTTTTGAAGAAAAAAAAGGCGACGCCGCTAGTGGAGAATATCAGTTTGAGGAAGAAGACGTTGTAGCATGTGTATCAGTCTCCAAGTGAGAGATTTGTTAGTTGGAGCCCGATTTCGCTCCCGCCTCCCGATCCCGCTCCCGCCTCCCGATCCCGCTCCCGTCTGCTTGCTCCCGCGAAGCGATGCTTCACTTCACCTCTTCGCTTCCGATCGCGAGAGGTCGCTTCCCAGCTCTCGCGAACTGTTCCCGTGAACTGTTCCCGTGAACTGTTATGTTGTTTCGCGACACCCCCATCCTCCTTTTTATAGAGAAATCGAGAGGTCTCGTTGGGTATTCGACATTTTTTCTTCTTTTTGCTTGAGTAGTAGGATTAAAGAGGAAGAAGAAGAAATTAATGTTCTCTCCTTCAGTTTTAAGCACAACCTTTTTGTGGTCTTTGTCGGGCTTCCACGGTATAGAGGAAGAAAAGTGCAAGCAGTAGTTTCTTGATGCAGAAGGAAGAAAAAGGAAGAAGGAGAAGGAAGAAGAAATAAGATTGTTCTCCATTGGCTTCTTCATGGTGACTTCTGACAGAAGAGAAATTGGGTTTATTTCTCTTGTAAGTTTATCTTCTTCGGTGTATCTCGATATAGAGAGAAGAAGAGAGAGCAAGAAAGTGAGAGATCCCTCTTGTAAGTCAATGCGATCGAATGGTGTAAATTCTTCAAGTAGTAAAATCCTCTGCAACTCCATGAACGTAGGCAATTTGTCGAACCACATAAATCTGTGTGTTCCGTTGTGTGTTCTTTTCTGGTGTGAATTTTATCGTTCTATTTTTCGCTTCCTCAAAGATGGTTCTTCTATTTTATATCTATACCACAACAAATCATGCCCAACTTAGTGATTAAATTATTATAAATCACTATAGGTAAAGCTTTGGTGAGGATATCCGTAGTTTGGGCTAGTATATTTGCAATTTTTATTTTAATATGAAACATCAATTTATCTTAGTATAATTAATTTTGTCATAATGTATAGAATTTATTGCAATACCTATGGTAAGTATGGTTGACACAATACAATTTTAAGGATTTTTTACAATACTTATGTCAATCTAGTTGCCACAATGCATATTCCTTTGCAATTATTAAATGCCACTACCCAAGATTTAGTTTGAACATTGCTTTTTGATATCGCATATTATTTGTTATTTTTCCCTATGATAAAGTTTCCCATACACAAGTGCAATAATTAAAAATAGGTCTTCATTCTGATACGTCTGTAAAATTTTGATTTTTTTTGTTGAATGATTTTCATACGATTGGCATTTTTCCAATTTTATCATCTTAGAATGTGGTTAATAATTGTCATGTGATCTTTAGTAGGATTTATTCATGTATTGTATACAATATGAATAGGGAATCGAGTATTAAGACGGGTGAGTGAGTGAGGGAGGGAAGAAAGGAGGAGTTTGTCATCGGTATTGTTACCTATCTTTATCAATGGGCGTTATTTATTGGGTCTATTGGAATTTCTAAATTAAGTCCAAGCATTCTTGTTT